CAGGCCTAGTATATTAACTGAATCAACTATAGGAATATCTGGCTAACTGCAAACAACGGTGAAAGAATACTGAATGTGATTTTCAGTATTCAGTGCGCGGTTCAGTATACGGTGAAAGTATTTTCAGTATACGGTGAACGAATACAACGGTGAAAGAATTCATGTGATTTTCCCAGGAAATGTTTTTCTGTCACTTAGCGTACAGTTGCTCATTAGCTAGGAATTCATTAAATGACACGCCAGCAGTCTTTCCAGCCTGCTACTTGCAAAACAGCACATAATTGTACACCATGCATATGTGCGCTGTGTGAACGCTGCACTAGAACACATAAAAGTCACTTCGTAATAGTAGGCAGGCAAGAACACGAAAAAAACACGCCCTGGAAAACTGACTGCCATACGTAAACTCAAGTGTGGTGCATGCGGCAGGAAGCTAATTGCCGAATGACATGACCGCGGTCAGTTATCCCAGGCTTCATAATGAGTAAGCAATGTGAACTTGACCAATAGAGTAGCTACGGCCAATCCACTTTTCTGTGACGCCATCGCATTATGACGGGCGCTGCGGACACGTTTTCAGAAATGCCCATTCCTGCACACTCATTAGTGTACCTACCGTGCGTTGCGAGTCTATTTGATATCTGAGATTTAACGTCCCACAACCACCATATGATTATGAGAGACGCCGTAGTAGAAGGCTCCGGAAATTTCGACCACCCGGGGTTTGTTAACGTGCACCCAAATCTGAGCACACGGGCCTACAGCATTGCGAGTTCATTTGTTCATGTCGACGTAGTGTGGTGACCCTCGGAGAGCACAATATGAAGATGCCTGAGCTAGTCTATAGGGTGTTGACACGAGGTCAAAGAAAGTCCCTCAAACACACGGCTATTCAGGCGATACAGAGATAAGTGCCGGGAACCGCAAGTGGCTTAGATACCCGCCGTTTTGCATTTTTTCACCCCTAGCTGCACCCATGGGGAATACGAAAAACTTAAAAAGCTTTCCCGCCCTGGCACTGAAACCGCATGCACCCGCAGCTGCACTGATGTGTTCAGCCGCTACAGTGTGTCCGGTAAACTCATTGTTATGATGACCGAACCTATAAGAGCTTCAGAATAGAGTTTAAATGAACCCGATGAAGTGCTTTATCATCAAAACACCATGATATGATAATATAAAACGCCGTAGTAGAAGTCTGCTGGAATTTCTACCATATAGGGTTGTGAACATGCACCTAAATGATGAATGTAAACACACGAGCGTCAAGCATTCTGAGTTCGGCAAATATAAGGAGCCCGTGCCATAAAATACGAAATTTTTGTAGCATTGCGTGTGCGTATTCACTGCCCAATGCATGAGTGCTGAGAAAACTAAATTGTCTCCACTAGCACCTCTATTAATGTCACCACTTCCAACTGGTGGAAGAAATAATTAGCACAAGAAAGCGGCCAAGAACAGGTGTTATATATTGCATTGAGTATGCGACAAAACGTGCACTCAACAGTTGGCTAGCGACGCCCTCAAGCGGAGCGCGTTGTCGTCCCTGCATAGAAGCAGCTCTATTGCACTCATGATGGCTGCTTAGGCCGTAAAGGGAAGATGCGAGCACGCCTTTAGACCGGCCATGTTCTGAACACTTTATCGTGATCTTCACCTGAAGGCCAAGCTCGAGCGTCCTCCAATTTTCTTATTACCCGTAAAGGTGGAAATAGTTTCCATAGAAAGGAAATAAAAACAAAAAATATGACTGTTTAACTGCAACTCTTTGCTGATAATGTCTCCACTAAATACTTAACATTAAACATTAACGTAAACATTAAAGTTTTTACACTGTAGTCTGTAATTCATAAAATCATGCCCATAAGGGTGACATCAGTTTTGAAGTATGAGTTTCGAAATTTTAGAATATGTGCTCGCGCCTTCATTGTTATTGTGCATGCATAAGGATGGGTTTTGTTTTAAAGGTGGAACAATTACACTCTAAAAAAAGAGTGAGTGAAAAGGGTGTCTTTTTGTCCCACAATAATCTTCATCTATATTGCTTTCTATCCTGGCGCTATCGCTCCGCGCCCGGTACATTCCGGTCACGATCACCATGCCCATTATCAGGGTTACATTGCATTCTCGATAGGAAAGTGGCAGTGCCGAGTTTTCAATAAAGGAAGCGCACGGAAGCCTGATGACAATTATTGTTGTGGGACAAAAAGACACCCTTTTTACTCGATATTTTTTTAGAGTGTAGGCGTGTTAGCGTGAGTTTTGCGTTGTATATGTCAGAACGTCTGCTGTTTTCATTATTACCTCACAGTGGAATTGATTTGAGAACTCACTGGCGTCAATTGGTATTCAGTCAAATCAGACCATTCGCTACATGCATTGCATGGTATGCAACGTCCGAAGTGCTGGTCCTCTTCCATGCATAGAGAAATCGGTGTATGTGATACTAGTTCGCCGAAAAACTACAGTGACTTTTGGTGATATACCAGCAGGAAGTTCAGGCCTAAGATTTCCTAGAACAAGGGACGTACTTCCCACATTCGCTCATTGGTCACCTAATATGTTTCTCTCTCTGGTGAAATTCAACACTTGGAAGAAGTAAAAAATTACCTTTGCCGATAACTTATGCATTCTGAGGGACACAAAGTGAAAAATAATTCTTGCTGCCAGTGGCTCAAATAACTAAGATTCAATAATTGACTTTTCAGTGACTGCCGCAAGCGGGCATACTTGTATTTCAAAGTTGGAGACAGCGCGTTTCTACACATTCACACTTGAAGACTTTTTTCTAGCATGTTTGTCTTCAGAAATATCCCGTGACAAAATGCTTGCAAGACAGCACCACGCATGCAAGACAGCACTGGCGCGAAGCTCCTCCCCAGTGGGCGCCAGGAATTGCATGTGTAGTTTAATCTGACAGCGAGTCGAAGGAATTGGCAAAGATGGTAACAGTTCCTCTTTTACTACCAGCTGGCGATAGCAAACTATGGGTGTTCATCACATCAGGGAGGGACATCGCCCCAATATTTACCACCTTGTACGCCTAACCGTGCACTGCACAATTAAACTTTTCCGTGGGACATCTCGGAGAAAACACATGCTAGAAGAATTCTTCTACATGCCACTCTGTAGAAACGCGACTGCCTCCAACTTTTTTATACAAATATGCTTGCTTACTGCAGTAACTGAAATTTATTTAATAAATATGGGCCACTGACAGATTAATGTCACTTTGTGTGCCCCTGGATACATAAGTTATCTGCAAAAGTGGTTTTTATGTTCTTCCCACCGCTGTATTTTAGGAAAAGCAGAAAGCTTAACGGCAAACACCCGGTATATATAATATGAGCACAGGTACCTAGATATCGCCAAACCAGCTTTAGCACGTAAAGGTTTTTTAATTCAGTCCTGGATATGTTCTTGTGTACAGAAAAGCACGCGTGCCTGCCCGTCTTAACTTGCTTCGTGTTATATTTCAGTGGATGCATACTGCCTGATACGTGAGAAATATTTAAGCAATTATCGCTTCAAGGTTCATGAAGGCTATACGCGAAGCATGGCCCATGGATGGCATAGATATGTTATGTTACATATTTGTATCACAATTTGAAACAAGCAGGGGCGTGTCCTTCTGGGAAGAGAAAAACCACACGACTGGAACGATGATTACTTCGAAATCTGGGTTAAAAGTGGGCCATGTGAGACATCTTCGGGACGTCCCAAAAAGGATGACGAAAATTTTGGAGTAAATTTAGAGAACGACCATTTTTGAAATAGGCAAGCGCGTTAAAGATGACTTACTGGTGTACATTTATAGAAAAGTCTTCACAAGTCAGACCCCACATCCCAATCATGATTATGACGACATGGTTTTCAGACCTCGATGGCGAATATGCCATTGGCAGATTCATATCCTGCATTAAATTCGATGTGGAACATGCACGGATGTTTCCGTAAACTACACGAGGTTTTTGATATCTTCAATCTACTTGCATAGTACAACGTTCAAGTTGTAACGTTAAATATTGTCATGGTGCAACGTGCATAAAGAATGATAGCAACTTGCGGCAGCGAAAGTGCGTGTTCAAGACCAGCTGCACAGCTTCTTTGTTTGTAGCCTGGAATCCATGACACATACCGACTCAGGGGAATCGGCCAAAAAACATACAGTATCCTATGTACGGTAACTGCAATATTGCTTACAAAAATGATGTACAAGAAGAAAAACATTATAAAAAATAAAGATCCAGAGAGGAAGAAACTTTACAAATCTGGAAAAAATCACTTATAACGATAACGTCACTTTTTGAATCCGACCATACAACTGCGTTTGCCAAACCCGATTAATTTGGGATGTATGTCTCATATTCATTCACATTGAAAAAAATTACTCCCCGACTTCTTTTTTTAGTATTTGCTAACATGGGCATTATATTAAAGTACGTTTAGTGGCTTCAATGAAATTACACACTGCATCAAATACATCTCTGTGGCAATGTCCCAAAACGGAGGCACTGAAATTGCTGCACAGCAATACGCCTGCCTCGTCATCGTCACCAAAGACTTACAGTTCCACTAGCCGGAATCGCCAAACATTTCCATTGCCGTTCTCTTCATATACACATGCACACGTTGATATGATCTTGTCGTTATTATTCGCTTGTTTAGTGAAACGTAAGAAACTACGCATTCACCTTCCTGAAATATTCGCTATGGAACGTTATTTAAATGACGTCCATCGGAGGCGACCAATTAAAATTTGTCACACGTTTGTAACGATCCAAGATATCGTACACAGAAGTTAATTGTTGATTCGCTTCATCTAGTCTTAAAAACTTTCGCAGCTGGCTTCGAATGATTAGATGTCATTGGAAGGCCCACCAGATGCCCGTTAGCGTAAGCGTGGCTTTGGACGAATGAATCTTGTGGGGACACACACATGGGGCCACACACTTTTTGTGCAGTAGGCATTCTGTTAAAGACTGAAACAACACCGGGCAAAAGTGCTCTCCTGCCGGTACTTCTCTCGTTTAAGTCTTTAATGAAGACGCGAAATGATGTCAAAACAGAACAACGCGCATAGCTGCACGAAGGCCCAGGGCAGCAAGCATTCCCGCTCACACTGTGCTCTTGGCATAACACAGTCGTTTAGATCACGTTTCAGCGCGAAGGCATGAAAGAAGAGAACACGGAGACAGCAATAAACATTCAGTGAATAAGCGCAACGTTGTGAAGTACCTACAAGATAAGCGCCAATAGATAAGCGCCAGATAGTTTGCACAGTTCTTGCTCCGCTTGCTCGGCCCGATCACGCACTTGCACCACACCACACACAATTAAACAGCCAGAAACTCCGTCAAGTCAAAAAGAAAAAGTTCAGGTGATATGAAGTTCATAGTGGAGTGAACTGAGAGGGCACGCTTGAAGTCCGCTATAAAAGGTCAGTTTCTTCACCGCGTACCGGAGCGCGGCCGCGGAAACTTGTGAATGGGTGCTCCGATAAGGACACTTCAGGGCTCCTATCTGTGCGGAGATGTACTACGCGAAAGTGTTATCACACTTTGCAGCACTCAAAAACACGGGTTTCGGCATTTGCTTATGCGTCGGGAGTGGAGTTGAGAAAGATGAATGAGTAAGAGTTGAACAGTAAGCTTAGAAAAATATTAGGGAGAGGTGAACGTGAAGTTTACATCACTCGGTATACACCTCGTCTCGCTAGACCCGCCTATGGCGAGCGCGTTTTCAGAGCGATGACACAATACTGCCAGAAATAAGTCCCCCGCCATTTTTCATCTTTTTGCGCTGACAAATGCTGCACTCCACCTACTCTGCAAAGAGGCAGTACAGCAGCACATTCTCCTGTGTGGCACATGACAATTCAGCGATACACAATACTTCACGCAAACTTCCTAACTTATATCATTACACTGCGGCATTGTACTTAGGGACATAACTGTCGTGCACAACTGGCCGCTATCACTTATGGAACGCGCAATTCCTTTTGACTGAGCTCTTTCAACAGAGCCACTGAGTAATCCAATAACCGCTTGCTCCGCATCACTGTACAATCCGCAAAGACGACACGTGATAACGCAGTAATGGCTTGGATGCTAGTTAAACACTTAATGAATAACTATTGCGTAAGCTGCGATTTGGCAAAAACAGGTGTCCTCATTGCAAATGCAATGCACAGGCAAAAAGTTTCTTCTGGCAAAGATAGCCCTTTTAGGATCAGGGTTACAGTCTTGCCACTCAGTGGCAAGACTGAAACAGAAATACGACGAAGAGTTTATGCAAAGGCACCGCCGTGACTGTCGCAGTTACTGTTCCGCCGTCGACACTTCACACAAAGAAGCTCGTGCAGCTACAGCCGGCGAGCACTGCAAGAGACGAGGCTGTTGCCCAGGAGAACAGACCCATCGCTCACCCTTTAACAGCAAACAATTGGCTGGTTGACTGAGTATAAACTTATGGGCTCGTGTAACTGACTTTCCGAGAGTGACTTGTGATGTGTGCGGGTCTCCTTTCTGCCAATTCCATGGCAATTCTATAGAAAACGGCCACTTAGCAACTGTGGTAGGCGTGCCATCACATTAAGAGACCCATAGTGACGCTCACAAGTGGCCGGCTCGAACTGAACGGTCTTCTCTTCATGTAGTTGTACCTTTCCATCCTGCCCTCTTTGGTATCGAAGCCAAGGGACGAGCACGCGCGGACAATACCACGCGAACAATACCATGCAGCAGGACCGAAAGTGCAAGACAGACACCCGTGCTATTCTTTCGTGCTGGTAAGGCCGCAGAGTCCATTGCACAGCTTCAATATCATTGGTTAGAAGAAAAGCGAAGCGTTCACGAACAGAGCCCTGAAAAGTATTGGACCGGTGACCGTTGTCTGTGGGTCTCTCCAAGAGAACAGTTTTTGGCATGCAGAGTCGACCACCAGCATGGCGCCGCACCTTTTTCAGTGTGCCCCACATCCATATACCACGTACCCGAGTCGTGAGCTTGACGTCATAGCGGCGAGCCTCGGGACGACGCTTAGAAGTCGGCCAAGCTATAAAGCGGTGAACTTCAGGCATACCGTCGCGATATAATAGCTGTCGCTGTCTGGCTGAACGGTCTTTGCTTCCAAGAAGGTGCCCTCCTGCCCCAATACCGGCGGGTACACAGAATGAGCGGTGCCTGACTGATGTGCAGTCCCACGGGAAACTGTTGTGCAGTCCCACGGAAAACTGAGGCGCCGTTGCGTAGTAAAGGCGCCCGGATACTCGAATACTCAACGCTCCGTTCGCCCGCCCCTTGTTCACGATCTCAGGGAAAGAGTGGCCGGGCTCACACGTTGTGCGGACCGCGGCCGTTGAGCGACGAGGAGAGGGTATGACCATGGCTGGAATCCGTGGTGTCCTCCCGGAATGAGTTGCTGCAAGACTTGGTCGTACCACTGGTGGTCGTAGTGGTGGTTGTGGTGGTGCCGACGGCCGGCTTCCTCTCCTGAGCCTCCTCGCAGCGTTGCGCGCAAGGGATCACGAACAACATGACACCTCCGAAGGCAATCATGGCACCGGATAGGAAGAAGCCCGGGTCGTACGACCCAGTGTAGTCGTACAGCCAGCCTGCGTAAGAACAAAAACGAAGGCTCCACTTTTCTTTTATTCGCCTGCGAAATACCTGTAGTCATCGTTATATCCTCGTTTAAACATAAACGTTACAAATGTAGGTCATCAAGACATCGCGGTTTTTGCAGCGTCTGTGCGGGTTGAACGACCACCATGTGGCGCACTCCATTCTAATACAATGAAGTATACTTTCTATGTTGTATTTACCCAGTTACGTGGAAAAAATACCTTGACAACCCTGTAGATCCGAGGCAAAGTTTGGCGGGTCGCATTTATATCAATGTGCACAGAACGAAAATTACAAGGAACACACCCCCAGCGGCAGACAGCACAATCACAAATCAGCGCATGAAGGGTTGAATTTACTTCTTCTTTGTGCTGAAAAAAATTTGTATCTAATATATTTTCCACTAAAGGCATAATTATTGGCTTTTTACGTCCCAGAACCTCGACATGAATTCGAGAGATGCTGTGCATGAAGACTGAGGTAATTTTTACCACTTGGTGTTATTTATGGTGCACCCAAGTCTCAGTACACGGCCGTGTGGTTTTTTTTTTTCCCGCCAGTGAAATGCACCGTTTCGGCTATAGTTCTCCACATTTGCTTTTTCCTCCCCCCCCCCAAAGGCAGAAAACATACTCTCATTGTCAAATCTGATCAGTTTTGCCCTTAACCTAATACACTTTTCTTATACGTAACCTTTATTTTGGGTACGGAGTTATATTCTCTCACCGGTCACCGGCGGTCCAACGAGGCAGGCGACACCCTCGAATAAAAGCAGCAGCCCGAAGGCGTTGGTCAAACGTTCCAAACCAAGAATGTCCACCAAGATCACAGAGGTAAGACTCACGAAGGCACCTGCATGGAATCACCGACTCATAAGTGCGTGTATTTCGGTAACAATTACTACGATTTGACCGCGGGCACCACAACAAAACTGCACAAGGGTTCTGGGCACCTCCACGTTTCGAAATGTGAAGTTCCTGGGGGCCACAAGCACGAAGGTAAATGCACCTGTACGAAGAGTCACAGGAATCTGTTTCCCATACTTCAGGGTGGGTTATTGTAGCACTATTCTCGCAAATAGAGGCGTATGCTGCCATGCTGCATTTAAGGCATATACCGTAACTCTAGTTGCAAGCAGCTGTGGATACCGCCTAATTGAATTAGAAATATGCGAAACAAAAATAAAGTTGATCCCTCTGTCATAGCAATTGATGTGACACGAAAGTAAGTGTGACTTCAAATAGGTAGTTAGATGTTTACAGCACATTATTATGAGATAGTAGCACAACGTCTATTGGAGTTTGGCAGCAGTATCATCGTTTAACGTGGATGCACCCACGCTGACGCTTGGCAGAACATTTTTATCCCCACGGCTAGCACGCATGATCAACGAATAAACAATCGCTTGTGGTAGCTGTTGTAGATCACGGTGAGAGAGTAATTAGAAAAGGCGTTACGACTGTCAAAACACCGTCACTGAATGGGCGGCGAACTTTGACTAAGGTAGCCACAGCATGGCATGTTATGGAGTTACTGAACACTACAGGCCCGCCCTATAGGGAAACGTAACGCGCATTGTGTATACCCTCTAGCCCGGCTGCGGCTTTTCTCTGAGCGACCGTAAGCGGAGAACGGTGTTATTGAAGGGCGAGGCAGGCCCGCGTCACCGGGCTATATTAGGGGCGAAGCTCCTTGAGGTCGAGCCTTGTCCGCCCTTCGGAGCCAGCCGCTAGCACACGAGCGCTCACTATATGGCTCTGCGGCGCTCGCTCCTTTGCAGAGTGCCACTCCTACGTGCCACCGAACGCGCTTTCTCTCTCTTGCGACAGCCGTCAGTCTGTGCACTTCTATAATAATAATATGAACGAAGAAGACAAGGTAGCGGAGTGAAGGGCTCGCAAGGCGGTAGCTCGGCTTCGCCATCAAAGCTTAGAGGGGCGAGCTCGAGAAGCTGAAGTGGCACGGTCTCGCTGTCAACAACGACAAGCGACCAATGCATAGGCGGCGAAACGCGCACAAGGACGAGCGGACGCGGAGTTAAGGGCCCGCGAAACGACGGCGGCACGGAAATCCCGGAAAGCGCACCCTGATTCGGTGGGGGCGGGGGATGCTGCAGCCAAGCGCCTGAAGCGATCGCTACCTGAGGTTGGTGGCGCCGATGATTGCAGTTTAGGTCACAGCTGCAAGGTTTGCGACCACCTGTGGTTTAATGACAAGCGTCAGAAATGAGCAATTCCGCGCCAACGTCATCACCATTCTACTGTGGGAGTTTGCCGCCGCCAATAAAGAAGATAACTGTGAGTACACAGTGTGCTCTACTTGCAAACACTGTTTGGTGGCGGGCAAAGACCCCGCGATGAGCGGGACTTCACCCACTCATTTATTTACCTCCGGAGCTTCGCCCACGTATCATCATTCACTTCGTGAATATGGTGGCATTTTTTAATACAGATCGATGCTATGAGAGACCAACGCTTCAGCTAAGGTCGCTATTTCACAGTGGGTAAAGGCACTGCCGAAATCGCACTTTTATTGCCGAATGGGACGGACGCGTAGTAACAACGCGCTTCAGGTGCTAATCGCGGAAGCAATGGTCGTGGTGAATCAGTTCAGTTCCATGCGGTGCCCTATCACGCTAACCAAGAGGAATATGAGTGGAAAGTGTCAAATATAAAAGGCGTGTTTGTAATTTCTCAAGTGAGTGCGCCCGTGACGCAGTAGATAGCGTGCATAGCATCTCTTGTCGTCAACCTAGAGGTAGCGGGTGTGTTTATTATGTGCATTTTTTTCTACTTCCTTTTCATGACGTAAATACGTTGCTGCCCGTCACCTGGGCATGCGTGCCGGGCACGGGGAGTAGGCCTGCTTATGTGGCGGAACAATAGAGTTGTCCTCCATCCATCCAAGTCTTGATAGGCCCTGGCATAAAACACTTTTGCGTTAATATATAGCCGTATGAAGAAAGCTATATATCGAAACTGACAAAAGAATATGTACGCAACAAACCCACTCAAGCATCCTATGAAATTCAAGTATTGTGACACAAAGCAGACTGGCTCCCAAGGTTATATAATAGAAAATTCTGACAACACTTTGTGTCAAGCTACTTCAGTTTTGCCAGAATGTTGCAGGATGAAGTTTCAGGTGGTTTATCTCATGGCAAGCAAGCGTAAATTAGGTAACTATACTTTCGCTCGTATAGCATTAACTTTCTCGCCAATTTCCCATCCAGCTGCATTGGGTGGCCAGACCACTGGCGACATATGACATGACGTGCATTTGTTCAACCTTCGATACATGAATATCGGGCGCGCTACATACCCGAGGTGGCACCGAAGATGACGCAGTACACGGTCATGGCGATGGCGCTCTGCGCCGCGTAGCTGAACGCCGTGGCGAGGCCGCACAGCGTCAGATTGGCGTTGTACAGCCACAGCCGGTTCACGCACGACTTGTCACTCAGGTAACCCAGAATGACGCGGCCCAGCGTGTTAGACAGGCCAATGCAGGAGAGCAGCAGGCTGCCGGTCTCCTCAGGTATGCGCAGATCCTCGACCGCGCGGTCCTTCGTGTACACGTAGGGAACGTTGAAGCCGACGCTCGTGAAGAAGTTGGACGTGGCGAACAGCAGGAACACCGGAGACTTGAGCAGCGTGAAGTTGATCATCTCACGGAGCGCTGCCTCCATCTCGCTCGAGCAGAAGAACCTGCACAGGGTTATCAGCCCGTCTTTAGATGACCCGTGCAAGGAAATATGGAAGGAACTGGAAGTGAACCACAGTCAGAATAGTGACAACAGACATAAACAGACGGTCTAAGACCGCTGTTTATGGCATTCAACTCGTAATCAGAGGGTTTATTTTAGGGCTAATGGCTGATATGGCGTACATCGTCTTCTTCACACGTGTTCAAGGCTGTTTTAGGGTGGTCCTGAACTTCTATGTTGCTAAGTTTGCTTTGAATCGCATCTAATGAAACCATTCCAAGGTGTATCAATAACTGGTCGACATTATATTGTAACGATGTTGAAGGACTCGGGGTATAATAAAACGTATTTATTAAAGGGCGAACCTGTGCCCACAACTCAAAGGGACTATGGTCGTAGCACGTTACAGCAGAACACCAAGATGTCTTCTTCTTCTACTTCTTCAAGAAGAGTCCCAAGCGCGTGGCGCACATCAGCAGCGGTCAGCTGGGTTCTCGTGCTATCATCATCGTCTCTGCGCAACACTAGACGGCGCGCATGTATGTCCCTGTGCGCGTGGTGATGGGCGCGTTGTTTGAATGCAGGCACTATGTCGCGGCATAATCCCCCTCCTCATAAGCATCGTCTCGATGCGTCAGGCAATGAATAGATTCGTGGTAGGCGTCACTGGTCTTCCGGTGATCATTCATAGTAAGGCTTCATCCGGACTACATGTACAACCTCTGTAGGGTTGCGGGTTGCGGCGTGCGGCACGATGGAGTACTTCGTAAGGCCCGAAGTAGCGGCTAAAAAGTTTTTCAGAAAGTCCATGGCGACGCACTGGGGTCCATATCCATACTTTGTCACCTGGTTGAAAATGCGCTTCGGTACGACGCTGATTGTACCGATATGAGTCGATACGCTGTTGGCGGCGTATTCTTTATCTCGCCATCTGTCGTGCTTCCTCGGCTCTTTGCAGGAAGTCGTCTAGGCCAGGTGGATTGCTGCTTTCATCATTCAGTGGTAACATGGCATCCAGTGGAGTGGTGACTCTTCGGCCGAATACAAGTTCAAATGGTGTCACTCGCGCTGTTTCTTGAACGGCTGTATTATATGCGAACGTGATGTAGGGCAATATTTCATCCCACTGTTTATGTTCGACGTCGATATACATTGAAAGCATATCAGTCAGAGTTCTGTTCAAGCGCTCCGTTAGGCCATTTGTTTGAGGATGGTATGCTGTAGTTCTTCTCTGGTCTGTATGGGTCATTCGCATCAGACATTTCATTAGGTCTGCAGTAAAAGCTGGGCCACGATCTGTAATTACGACACTGGGTGCACCATGTCTAAGGACTATGTTGTTGATAAAGAACCTGGCAACTTCAAGAGCTGTTGCAGTGTACAGCGAGTCAGTCTCAGCGTTGCGAGTGAGATAGTCCATGGCTATGACTATCCACTTCTTGTGTGCAGTCGATGTCGGAAACGGGCCTAGGAGATCTATACCGACTTGTTGGAATGGGGCATGCGGTGATTCTATTGGCTTAAGGAGGCCTGCAGGTTTCACGGATGGAGTTTTGCGCCTTTGACACTAACGGCAAGTTTTCACATAGCGCTGAACTGATGACAACAGTTTTGGCCAGTAGTATTTTCGGTGAATTCTGGCGAATGTACGGCTGACACCCATGTGTCCAGATGTTGGCTCATCATGACATGCGTGCAGAATCTCGTTTCGTAAAGGTGCAGGTACAACGAGTAAAAACTTGTCGCCATGAGGCTTGAAGTTCCTCTTGTAAAGGACCCCTTCTCGAAGACAGAACGAAGGGAGCCCTCTCGATAAAGTGCGCGGGACTTTAACGTTGAGTCCTTGGAGACGCTGTATAAGCGGCAGCAAATCGGGGTCATTTTGTTGTTCTTGAGCGATTTCTGATGCCTGGAGGACGCGTAGAAACGGAAAGTCTTCTTCCTCCGGCTCACTCGTCTCCACTGGTGTGCGTGACAGGCAGTCGGCATCGCTGTGCTTTTTCCCAGATTTGCATAGCACAGTAAGATCGTACTCTTGTAGCCTAAGGCTCCATCTTGCTAGTCGGCCAGAGGGATCCTTAAGATCCGCCAGCCAATACAGGCTATGGTGGTCACTGACTGCTCGGAATGGTCTAGCGTAGAGGTACGGCCGAAATTTACTTATGGCCGAGATGACAGCGAGATACTCTTTTTCGGTTGCAGAGTAATTTGTCTCAGCTTTCGAAAGCTTGCGGCTGGCATTCGCTAGCACTTTTTCTGGGCCGTTTTGCCGCTGGACTAGAATGGCTCCGAGGCCGACGTTACTCGCATCAGTGTGAACTTCAGTTTCGGCAGTATCATCGAAGTGGGCGAGGATTGGAGAGGCTTGCAGGCGTGTTCATAACTCATAAAATGCTTCCTGTTGTTCACTTTCCCACATAAAGGGCAGCTCGTCTTTTGTCAGATTAGTAAGTAGTTCAGCAATGTTCGAAAAATTTTCCCCAAATCACCGATAGTACGCGCATAAACCCAGGAAGCGACGTACTGACTTCTTGTCTTTGGGTGTCGGGAACTTCGCGATGGCAGCTGTCTTTTCGGGATCTGGCCGAACGCCGTCGGAGCTGACGACGTGTTCGAGGAATCGAAGCTCTTCAAAAGCGAAGTGGCATTTTTCTGGCTTGATGGTCAAGTCTGCTGAACGAATGGCTTCTAATACTGTGCGGAGTCGCTCTAGATGTTGGTCGAATGTAGCGGAAAATACGACAACGTCATCCAAGTACACCAAGCAGGACTGCCATTTCAGTCCCGCGAGGACAGCGTCCATCATTCTCTGAAACGTAGCTGGCGCTGTGCACAGGCCGAATGGAAGCGCTTTAAATGGACAGCGTCCATCATTCTCTGAAACGTAGCTGGCGCTGTGCACAGGCCGAATGGAAGCGCTTTAAATGGACAGCGTCCATCATTCTCTGAAACGTAGCTGGCGCTGTGCACAGGCCGAATGGAAGCGCTTTAAATCGTAGAGGCCGTCTGGGGTTATGAATGCCGCCTTTTCACGGTCGCGCTCATCCACCTCAATTTGCCAATATCCGCTCTTGAGATCAAGGAAGGAGAAGTATTTCGCACTCCGTAGTCGATCGAGTGTATCATCGATACGCGGCAGAGGGTATACATCCCGTTTCATTACGCTGTTCAGTTTCCGATAGTCGACGCAGAATCGAAGGCTGTTATCTTTCTTTTTAACAAGCACTACAGGAGACGCCCATGGACTGCTGGAAGGCTGGATCACGTCATCTCAAAGCATCTCCTCCACTTGTTTCTTGATGACGTCTCTTTCCTTTTGCGATACTCGATATGGGTGTTGGTAAATCGGTCTCGTGGCTTCTTCTGTTATAATCCTGTGTTTTGCAATAGCCGTGCGTCGCACCTTAGAGGACGTTGAAAAGCAGTCCGAAAACTCTTTTATAAGGGCGAACAATCGTTTCTTTTGATATTCTGGGAGCCTATGGTTGACGTTAACTGATGCGTCGACGTTGCAGGTCTCTTGTGGAGTGATTGGCGTCGTCGCTAAACTGCATAGGTCAGTCGCCATGCAGAACTCGGGGAAATAGGCGATAGCCATACCTTGCGCGATGTGCTGACATTCATTCCCAAAATTCGTAAGGAGAACAACTTAGCGGCCATTCCTTGAGTAAACAACACCCCTCGCCACGCGAATTCCTTTGTTTAAAAAGAGCTCTACGTTTCCATCCGCTATTCCTTCATGGTCACAAAATGCCTTATTTTCAACAAACACCATTACACTACAGCGTGGTGGCACTGTGACGTCATCATCAACAACGCGCAAAGCAGTAAGACGTCGCTTTTCCGATTCCTCCACCGACACAGCTTTTTCGGTCGAATACGTTACACTGGATCTGCGCAGATTAATTATGGCTCCATTGGCTTGCAGAAAATCCATTCCTAGTATAAGCTCCCTTGAACAGTCCGGCAGTACGATGAAGTCAGTAACGTAAGTAAAGCCTCTTATTTCGAGCCTTGAGGTGCATCTGCCGAGCGGTGTAATAGTGTGGCCACCTGCCGTGCGTATCTGTGCCCCACTCCATTTTGTCACAACCTTTTACAGTTTTTTTGCCAATTTTTGACTCATTACCGAATAATCAGCGCCGGTGTCAACTAAAGCATTTAGCTCGTATCCACCTATTTTCAACCGCAAATCTGAAGTAATCTTCGCACTGCTGCGCTTATCCTCTGTAAACATAGCATCGTCACCTTGAAACCATAATGGAGGATCTTCGCAACTGTAGTTATCAGCGGCCTCACCTCCACAGGGTGGAGGTGAGGCCGCTCAGTTTTCCTGGTGTGGGCTTGTAGAACGGTGCCCAGACCGTGCGGAAGAAGCACGTTGGCTGGGTGATCGGTAACGCCTGGGCGACGGCGATCTTGGCTAATGTTGGTGTGGAGTGAGTGGGCTCTGGCGCGCGGACTCTTCGACCTCCGTTGGCCGTTCACCATTTCGAGGGCATGGTGCGTACAACGGAAAGCCCCTTAATCCTGCCTGTCGGTAAGGGCAGAACCTATACAGGTGACCTCCTTCCCCACATTGGAAACACAAAGGCCTGCGCTCGTGGTCACGCCAGATGTCACTTTTCCGGGGCCTTTGATCCACGTAGCGAGCTACACCACGGGCTCGTGGCAGGTAGGTAGCCGTCGGTTCCAGTGGACGAGGTGCGCTGCGTACCGTTTGTGGGCAAGGAAAAGCCATCGCAACTGCTGCATTGGTGTGCACCGCGGGTTGTCTGAGTACTTCAGAGTACGTTGGGATGCGTTGGATCGGCTGTGGCGCACGCTCCGGCTCACGTATCATCTGCCTCAGTTCATCTCGTACTACGTCGACGACAGGCAGTGTTGCTGTAGTGTGAGGTGCTTGCAACTTGCTGAGCTCTTCCCTGATCACCGACCTGATGAGTTCTCGCAGGGCGTCTATGTCACTTCACTGACGTCCAGAGAAGACATTGGCAGGTGCATAGTTTATGTCTCGATTGTACTGTCAAGCCCGCTGTTCTAGCGTTTTCTCGATGGCTGTCGCTTCCGTATGAAACTCCGCAACTGTTCGTCGTGGGTTGCGCACGAGAACAGCGAATAGCTCTTGCTTCACCCCACGCATGAGGTGGCGTAGCTTCTTGTCTTCAGTCATATGGGAATCTGCGCGCTTGAACAGGCGGATCATGTCCTCGATATACATTGCGACACTTTCGTTGGTGAGTTGGTTCCTGGATTCAAGCGCAGCCTGCGCCTTTTCTTTGCGATCCGTGCTGGCATAAGTCGCCAGAGCTTGTCGCCGAAATTCACCCCAGGTCGTAAAGGAGGTTTCATGGTTCTCATACCACGTCTTTGCGAAGTCCTCCAAAGCAAAGTACACGCGGCGGAGCTTCTCTCTCTCGTCCCAACCGTTCAAACGTGCCACTCTGTCAAAGAGGTTCAGCCAATCTTCTACGTCTTCATACGAGTCGCCATGAAATACCGGTGGCTGGTGAGGCTGATTTATCACCACTTGGGCTGGTGTTACATGACTTGTCATGGTGGCGGCGTCCATTGACTGAGTTCCCCTTGGCGTGAAGTGGAGTGGACTGAATTCTGGTGGATCACCTCGAAGACGGCGACTGGTTCTCTGATGCACAGGTGTCGGCTCCCCAGGATCAACTCGCTGGTGGTCGGAACTACGCTGTCTTACGTTCGTAGGGCTTTGATTCATTACCCAGCACCTCCACCAGAAATGTAACGATGTTGAAGGACTCGGGGTATAATAAAACGTATTTATTAAAGGGCGAACCTGTGCCCACAACTCAAAAGGACTATAGTCGTAGCACGTTACAGCATAACACCAAAGATGTCTTCTTCTACTTCTTCAAGAAGAGTCCCAAGCGCGTGGCGCACATCAGCAGGGGCCAGCTGGCTCTCGTGCTATCATCATCGTCTCTGCGCAACACTAGAAGGCGCGCATGTATGTCCCTGTGCGCGTGGTGATGGGTGCGTTGTTTGAATGCAGGCACTATGTCGCGGCAATATAGCTGCAAGCCATCTCGTAGGCTAATCAATGTCATACCTCTTTATACAACTGTGTGCTCATTAAAAATGTAGGACTGAAGAAGTGAGTGCAAATGGACGATGGCGTCAACTGATGACTATCCAAGATGACAGTATACTGCATGTCCGGCGATGTGATTGCCACGTAAATTTGAAGGCACAGTTGCGACGCATAAGCACAAAGACGTTCGTGCCCGAATATTTAGAGAAGCGGAGAAAATTATGAGGGAACCTGACAACCATATGAGAAACTGTCCATTTCTACCTGAGATAAAGAGCTATGGTCTCTGGGAAATGGCGCTGATGGCCAATGAACTTACTATTCTACCTCGGGCATCAGGTGTACAGTTTGTTTTATTTTTTATTTAAAACGGCTAAGTGTTCTTTCGTGCTTTAGTAATATATATGTTGTATGACAAAATTAACCTTTCAGTTTACAGTCCGCGCTTATCCCCGTCTGCTAGTCATCCTTGTTCTCTACCGCTGATCATGAAGGAAGCGAGTGCAAGGAGCTACTCTCAGTTTCAATCGCTCATTTCATCATGAAGTACACCGAGCCCGAGCTTCGTAAGATGCAGCTGAGATGACTCACTTCTGTATGCGCGTGCGTTCGTCCGAGGTGGGCACCGTGACCGACTTGATGGTGCGCAGCGAGGTGACGCTGAGCGACATGTCGCGCGACAGGAAGGAGGACGAGGCACGGTACTCGGGCGGCAGGTTCTGCAGGCTGCCGCTGTAGAAGATGTCCTTGCGCACCAGCAGGCTCCGCGGGCACGGGTGCAGATGGGGCGCCGGTCCCGTCGGGCTCGGTGGACTAGAGCCGGCAATGTGCACGCACGACATTGACGTCTTCTCGTCCTCCAGCTGCGTGCGAGAAAGTACGACTGAGGACACAAACAAGGCAGAGAACTTTGTCGGATCCATATGGCATCGATAGCTATTGACAGCATCAATACACCTTGCAGAGGGCGACAAACAACGTGTACCCGTGCTAGAGCAGCTTCTCTGGCTACTTCACTTGCGATGTGGGCAAGCTCAAAAATTATAAAAGGGAGGAAGGAAACAATCTGTAACGAACACGCGTTGTATTTTGTCACCACCCAAGCTCGTTTAGCTGTACACTCAGATTTCTATAACATCGTGCTTCTGTGCTTGGTATAGCAAACTGGTGTAATACCGTAATACAAGTAATAAAGAAAGACTTTATGCCTCCAACGCGGCAGTCAAGCTAAGATATGCATGTCATAAACTGTTTGCAAGTCGACACTTAAAATTTAAGAGCCGCGTTCGAGAGTTGAACGCTCTCGGTATGCCAAAAAGTGCTTCACGTTATTTTCAATTTCGCTGTACTTTTTTTTCAGTTTCTCTTATTCTTATCCGCACAGTTTGTCTTTACATCTAGTGGTGCAGGAAGATTGTACGCATCAAGCTATCACTCTTCTCCGTACACACTCGAATATCACATCCATGCATTGTGTATGGAGCATAGAAAGTCATCAGATTTTAACAAACTTGAACAAACTATGTCCACTTGGCATCACGTGCAAGATTTGGCAGCGGCAAAAGTTTGTGTCGCGTATTCCTATAATTTCTGATGAAAATAAAAAAGTCACTTTCCCAGCAAAAGCGAAACGATGAATGCGATAGGAAGAAAGCAGAATGTTATACAAAGGCTAGCAGCTCACTCAGAACCCCCCTTGGTGTATACGTTAAATCAGCCGATGGAGTTCGGCAGCAGTGCGTCACAGTGCACATACTAATCGGCATCTTCTCATCTCGCAGTGGGACGATTATCTTTGAAGCACGATCACCGTCCGCACCAGGAAGGTGACATCGCTCGGTGCTGCTGCTCTACACCTGACAAGGAACGTCGCATGCGCAAGCGTCAGCGACACCTGACAAGGAACGTCGCGTGCGCAAGCGTCAGCGACACCTACAGCACCTATTTAAACCGCTGTGACATTGACTGGCGACTTTGTTCGGCAGCAGTGCGTCAACAGTGCACATACTAATCGGCATCTTCTCATCTCGCAGTGGGACGATTATCTTTGAAGCACGATCACCGTCCGCACCAGGAAGGTGACATCGCTCCGGTGCTGCTGCTCTACACCTGACAAGGAACGTCGCATGCGCAAGCGTCAGCGACACCTGACAAGGAACGTCGCGTGCGCAAGCGTCAGCGACACCTACAGCACCTATTTAAACCGCTGTGACATTGACTGGCGACTTTGTTCGGCAGCAGTGCGTCAACAGTGCACATACTAATCGGCATCTTCTCATCTCGCAGTGGGACGATTATCTTTGAAGCACGATCACCGTCCGCACCAGGAAGGTGACATCGCTCGGTGCTGCTGCTCTACACCTGACAAGGAACGTCGCATGCGCAAGCGTCAGCGACACCTGACAAGGAACGTCGCGTGCGCAAGCGTCAGCGACACCTACAGCACCTATTTAAACCGCTGTGACATTGACTGGCGACTTTGTTCGGCAGCAGTGCGTCAACAGTGCACATACTAATCGGCATCTTCTCATCTCGCAGGTAAGCACAAGATTTTGTGCTCCTAAGTCCATAGTACCTTCTTGTTTTCTTGCACTGCTGCCGAGCAGAGTTCTTGTGTCACTTGCATTCGTTTTCTTTCAACATTGTGTTTCCATGTTCTTGCTGTCTGTGGCCATCTCGAAATGACTGGCCGCAACACGCGAAAAACGGGTAAAGAGGACACTGACGATAAACTTAGCGATAGCATGACAATGCAACAGGGGATTGATAGCCTTAGAAAGGAGGTGATGTCAGAACTTCGCTCACTGAAACAGAGCGTTCAGTACTGTAGCGAGTCTTGTGACAGCGTGACTGAGATGGGCAAAGACATAAAAGAGCTCATAAATGAGATAAAAGAGCTAAAGTTAAGCAATCGGAAACTAAAGGAAGAGAACGAGAGGTTGACTGCGCGAGTCGATGAATTAGAGCAATATACTCGCTCCAATAATGTAGAGATTAAGGGAGTTCCGGTAGAACCAGATGTGATTGACGTGGTCTCGAAGATGGGTCAGCTCATTGGAGAATCGGTATCGAAAGACGATATTGACATCTGTCACCGCGTCTTCACGACTAAGCACAGCGAACCAAACATAATTGTGCGCTTTGTCCGTCGTGAGAAGCGAAATTCTTTTCTGGCGAAGGCCAGGAAGACTCGCCAAACGGGCACATTGCTTGGTTGTAGTTCTACAAAACCTGTGTTTGTTAATGAGCACCTGACACGTCAGAATAAGCAACTTCTCGGTGCTGCTGTGGCTAGGAAGAGGGTGGCAGGCTGGCGATATGTCTGGACAAAGGATGGACGAATTTTTGCTCGTCGAGACGAAAACTCTGCCGTTCTGCGCTTAAATTCCGCAAGCGACTTGGAGAAGATGACGCAGTCAGCCGACGCGTCATAATTATGAGACTGTTGCCTACGTGGCCCTTTTTTCTTGTAGATTACTGCCGTCATGGCTGTAAAACCTTCTTCACTTAAACACCTACCTGGATATGATCACTTGTCTTTTCTGCATGTGAATGCGCGATCGCTGGAATCCAAACATGACGAATTCGAACTATTTCTTGCTAGCACGGGCGTACCGTTTGATATCATCATGGTATCTGAAACGTGGTACACAAAGTATTCCGTGCCGTTCGCCCAACCAGGCTACCAAGGCTTTGCTTTAAACCGCTCTCAACGTAAAGGAGGGGGCGTGCTGTTGTTGGCTAAGGCTGAGCTAAACGTGAGCATCATTGACGAATTCTCCGTTTCAAATGCTAACTTCGAAGTTCTAAGCGTGCGTAGTCGATCCAATATCTTTTGTGTCGTCTACCGCCCACCTGACGCCAATATACACACCTTTTTCTGTTTTCTTGAAGAATATTTTGACTTCATTCGTTCCAACAAATATTCTCTTTTTCTTGCCGGTGATTTCAATATAGACATGCTAAAAACCTCAAGAGATCAGATCGAACTGTCAGCTTTACTGCAGTCAAACGGGTTTGTAAACACTATTGTAAATTCTACCCGCATTACTCATTCGTCAAATACCCTTATCGATCTATTCATCACTAACACCGACAGAAAAAACCTTTGTAGCGGTTCGATTGCAAGCGATATGAGTGACCATCTTCCCATCTTTACTTTCATCGAAAATGAAGTGCCAACTAAGCGGATTATCGATCCGCCTCAGCGTTTCCAAGATATAAACAGTGCATCTCTGGACGCTTTCCGTAACGAGGTTGAAGCCCACGACTGGCGTCAAGTTTTTAGAAAACATGACTCAAATTCCATGTACGAGACCTTTATTGCTGAACTGAGGACACTGTACAATAAGCACTTCCCATACGTTGTCAGGCATAGAAGTAATAAATCGCGAAAACCATGGCTAACCAATTACCTTCGCAGCCAAATCAAGGTAAAAAATAACCTTTATTGGGTTTTCATCAGGACCAGAAACCCTGAAACATGGAAAAAATTTAAATCTTTCCGAAATCGTTTGAATGCTACGCTAAAGAAAGCAAAGGAAGAATATTTTTTCAAGCATTTCTCTGTCGCGGCAAACACTGAGCTGTTGTGGAAACGACTAAACGCCATAGTTCATCCTAAGACTGACCGTGCGATTTCGAGCCTGTGTGTAAACGGTCTCATGAAGTGCGGTTCAGATTTGTCAAACGCACTCAATGACCATTTCATTGCGGTAGGCCAGTCAGGCGCTTGCAACGTAAATCCATATCCCATTCAAGGTACCAGTTCACCCTACTCCAGTATGGTATTTTTCCCAACAACGGAGAGTGAAGTTGTCGGTATATTTAGGAGCTTAAAAACTTCTAGATCACTGGATGCAAACGACATGCAAATCCGCCCTATAAAGCACATCATCGACATTATTGCTCCTATTCTGACAACACTGTACAATTTAGTGCTTGAAAGTAGCTGTTTTCCAGAAAAAATGCAAACAGCAAGGGTAATTGCCATACACAAGGGGGGCGATGAAAATGATTTGGGAAATTTTAGACCAATTTCTATACTCCCAATCTTATCAAAAGGCCTGGAAAAGATTATTCACGCACGACTTGTTCGCTTCCTGAATAAACACTCTTTCATTTCATTGGCCCAGTACGGGTTCTTGAAAGGAAAATCCACAGAACAAGCACTACTTGCTCAAAAAGAATGTATAATAGATGCCTTTGAAGATAAAAATATAGTACTAGGTGTATACATCGACTTCTCAAAAGCTTTTGATTGTGTGCAACATAACCTACTACTGTATAAGCTAGAACACTATGGCGTGCGTGGGAGGTCCAATGACCTTCTGCGTTCATACCTTCGCCATAGAAGTCAATTTGTCACAAATGACACTTTCGATTCAAAGACTAAACGCCTGAAGTCCGGGGTGCCCCAGGGCAGTATACTCGGCCCGCTCCTATTCATCGTCTACATAAACGACATTTTTTCCTCTTTTACTAATTGTAAGTGGGTAGGTTACGCCGATGATACAGCCCTTTTTTTCAGCGGAGTAAAGCCGGATGGGTTGGTATCTTTAGCTAATGATGCGCTTGCAGAAGTATCAGCGTGGTCAAAAAGAAATTCCTTGAAAATAACACAAAAAAGACTCAAGCCATAATTTTCCGCACTAGAAACAGAGTTATTGAACTGACAAAAAAGTTGTATCTTGATAATGACGAAATTAGTGTTCTTAGAGAGATCAAAGCCTTGGGTGTCACTTTCACAGAAACATTGTCGTGGAATAAGCATGTGCAAAATGTTTGCAACAAGTTAAACTCCGTCACTGCATTAATTAATAAAAACCGTCAAATATTACCAGTAAAAGCTAAACGTCTGATATATAATGGATTATTTTTATCGACATTAAATTATTGTCATCTTGTATGGGGTACTACATCCTCTGACAACTTGAAAAAACTCGGTATATGCCAAAAGCGCGCAATTCGTGCAATAGCCAACGTTCCGTATGCTACTCATACTGCCCCTTATTTTGAAGCATATAATATACTCAAAGTTAAATTCGTCTACGCATTCCGTCTTTCCTGTACATACCGTCTCGCCATGAGGACTAATAACACCGAATTCATCAGTTCGTTTCGCCTAGCAAGACGTCACTATACATACGACACAAGAAGTCAGGATGACTGGATCCAGCCAATATGCCGCACAAACTATGGCAATCAGTCTGTATCGTATCAACTAGCCGTAATCTTAAACAAATATGCAAAACATGGCATAGCCACTGAGTCGGCCTCAGCACGCACCTTTCGCTCATTCTTATCGGGTGAAGTTTAGACTTCGTTTCACACTAACATCTAGTCGTATTCATCAGTCGCAGAATGATACGCACGGTTCTTCTGTTTGTACATGGCGTTTTTTTTCTCTTTTTGTCTGTGTGCGTTTGGCTTGCTCATTCTCTTTCGGAAATTGTTTACTTTTTTTTGTTTTCTTTTTTTTTTTTTGCATATGAATTTTTTTGTACTGTGCGTTGAAATTGTAATCTTCTTTTCACCAATAGGACTTATTATCATGGTCCACATAATAAACCGAGGCTATAACATTTCTCATACTAGAGAAATGTGCTCAGTGTTGGTAACTACTACCTGTTTCAGATTTCGTTCAAATGACTGTTACGTTCATGTCGTTTACCAATGACTACGGCATGTTTTTTAACGTTTTTTTTATGTTCTCAGTGTAATACTGATTTATTGCCTTTGCAGTTTTTTTGTTGGATTATTTATCAACTTCTGTTGTACACGTAATCATTACCTACAACTGTTCGTGTTTTTCTTTTTTGTCCTTTTTTCCATAAGTCTTATGAATGTGTATTACTATGTATAATGATGTATAAAGACCAAGTCCTCCCATGTTTCTCCTAGAAATCGCTACATTTGCCTCTTCCTGTCAATGTGCATTCAAATCAAATGTTTTATTTTCCAGCAAAATCAATTTTTGTGTGGTTGATCATTGTTACTGCTGGACTTTGTAGGGGGCCGGAGCTTTGTCAAGCCGCAGTACTGCGGCTTTTTTTCCGTCACCCCCATATTTCTCTATGAGAAATAAAAGTTGATTGATTGATTGATTGATTGATTGATTGATTGATTGATTGAGTGAGCGAAACGACTATCATGCTTTTTATAGGACATTGCCAGTAAGGGTACGCTGAGAAGACCGCATGTACAGAGCTAAGAGCCGTCTGCTGATCTCTTGCAAGATACAAATGCGTACGACCGGACCTGATTGATCGATGTACGATGTTTTTGCCAGATCCACTCAGCCACATCTCCCCCCCCCCCCCTAGAAAGGTTTTCTCGTCACTAAAGACGGTGCGCATTTCTTCTGCGCCTGGGTCACAGTCTTCAACTGATTTTGCACAGACAACACGCGACGCGCTGGGCAATGGATTCTATTGGAACTTTATACAGACCCTCACGGCGGCACTGACGCTGACGGGACAAATGCGTCGGGAATGTCCATACGATTGCCATTGCAATAACACAATATTTGTACTTTTCCACATCTGTATATTTTAGGATAGTAAGAAGCCCCCGACGAATGTCCTACCGTGAGCAGAGGTAGGGTGACGCCTCCGCCGGTGGCACGAGCGAACAGCGCCGAACGGGGTCGTCGGTTGCGGTGCGCTTCGGACTGGTGCTCGCCAGTGTCGGCAGCCCGGACGGCGGCGATAGTGCCCGTGGAGAGGGACAGCTCTCGAGACGCCGAGCACGAGCTGAGGCCGCCATTGCGTCGGGGTGCACCCTCCCTGCAACGATGGATCGTGACACACGTGAGTGAGTGAAAACATTTATTGAAAAAACATAGGAGAGGTGCAGCCCTTTAGAGGCTTCATAGTGGGTCCTTATTCCGGGACCCCATTGGGGACACTTGTTAACCTTGCCTTCTGGATTAGGGCCCTTTGAACATGAATGTCCGAGCAACCCAGCAGGGTCGCCTCCCACTCCTCTCTGGTTGGGTTAGGGTTCGAGAGAAGAGCTGAGTTGAGCTGGCAAGAGGTCACGCTTGTGCAAAGAGAGCGAGCGACGAGGCTACCTGCGGTGGCCGCACGAGCACGTCTCTTTAAACGGCACTTTTCTCTTTACGTATACTGTCCACAAAGTAGAACGCACATACACGCATGTCGAGTGAACATAAACATCTTCGTCTTGATGATGATGATTAGACAGCCATCAATGATAGCAAGCAGTGTGAAAAAACAGGACGGAAACGCAGGAAAAAAAGACAGACGAGAATGACCGCTGAGTTTCAAAAGTCAGTGCTGGCTCTCGTTTTTTCCTCCTGTGTGTCCGTCTTTATTTGTGCTGCTTTATACCATGGATCCATACTAACTGGTGCAGCTAAATGTCTACACTTCATATTGGAGAAACTAAATCTGCCACAGCCCACACTGAATAGCGTTTTAGACTAGTCGATCTTTCAAGAGTGTCTGCGAAATTCAAGCTAAAGACAATGCACAAACTAGTGACAGACTAAGACGAGTGCTGTCATAGCCATTGTATCGTCCTACTTCCTTAAGCTCTCACCAGTATTGTATATCGTATCACGAGACAGATTAGCGGGTCTGTTCGTTTGGGAAACATTGATACACGGACGTATATATGGCACCGTCATGTGACGTCATATTCAGTTTGTACCATTAAGACAGACGAAATCACTACACCGAAATTAGTCTGCCGCAGCCAACCGCTTCCGGTGTAAAACTTGAGGGTTTACAGCGTAAATAATACTGAATTTTTTATACTTCTGCTCAATACTATTGTTAATGGCTACACGATGGACTAAGGATTGGCGCTTAGAAAATGCGGTGCTGTTCCCAAAACAAATAAGATAAACTTCTGACCTTATTTGTTTTTATTTCTTAAGGTACAGCGTGAGTATTGGGGAATTCTCGGTATAGTATATGTTTTATAAAACATTACAATCTGCATTTCAAATGGTTCTTTTTCAGAAAATCGGAATTCTGGCGTTCACAAAACGAGCGCTTGTCCAAACCCCTTGTCACAAAACGAGCGCTCAAAAACGGGCGTGCCACCAAATTCTCGCGACGAAGCGCCGAGAGGTCAACGATAAAAAAAGAAAACAAGCATCCAAAGACTCTCCGGGCGCACGTCCTTCTCCCCTCGGAAGCGTGGGTTCGCCGACGAACCTCCTCTAGTCGGCGCCCGAGCAAGCCCTGGAATGTTCTAGATGGAAAGGGGCGTGGTGATGCCGGGTTGCGTCATCCGTCGCGGACGGCCTTCGAACTGTCTCGCCCTCTCCCCAGCCTTCGCTGCGTATCGCGCCGACAAAATGATGAGAACTTTCTGGAATCTCGCGCGGAAGGTATTTAATCGAGCAGCCGAGATGGGAGATCAGCAGAAGGAAGTTAACGCCAGAGTGCGTAGGGTATCCCGCCGCGTCTGTCGGTGAAGGTTTTGTCCTTAGTGACAAAGCAGGAGAAGAAGAAAGTACGCGCCAGAGTGCGTAGGGTGTACCGCCTTGTGGGCGAAGCCTTTTGTCTTCCGTGACAAAGGAGGAGAAGGAGAGGATTTACACCTGAGGGGTGAAGACTCGAGCTACAGACAAGAGTGTGTGTCTACCGCTATCGAGCGAAGACGCGTGGCAACAGCTGTGTGTGGGAAGCCGACGTGTTTCCGGCGAAGAAGTTTGAAGCTTGGAGAGTGGCCAAGTGAAGACGCGAGGTTTCCTGGAAGAGAAACTTAGGGGGCAGCGGAACGACAACAACGCTGGACTTTGAATGAGTGATTCTCGGAAGAGTATCATCCAAGACTTTTGTTCCAAGAACTTTGGACTGAATAAGTTTTCTAACTCTTTAGTCTTTAAGTGTCTTGGTTGTTCGATGCATGCGACTGCATTGTAGTGCGTTTTGTTGTCTGTGTCCGTTGTTTCGAGTGTGGCTGATTGTACTGTTTAGTACGTTGTTTGATTGGCGACACATTGTATTCAACTATTGTGGAGTGTGCATACTTGTGTATTGTTTTTGATCTGCCATTATTGAGAATATAATTTTGTTTTGTTTATCAACTCTCGGCTCTGACTTGTTCTTTGGGCCACAGCCGGCGTCCGCTGGCGCGCCAAAAAGGACCACTTCTAAATTGTCCACGCTTTCGTGGTGCGGTTCGGGGGTGCGATACTTCGGCCCTTGGAATTAGCCCGGCGATCACCTCCCGAATTAACGAGACATGTGACACCTCCCCCCCCCCAAAAAAAAATATACGGAAATACAAAGAAACAATCTGCGTGGCACAGCGGGATTTCTCTGGATGGAAATAAGTAATTTACATTTCAGCAAGGTGAAAACGTAAACAAACAAGGATGTCTGGCGAATGCCATGGCATGCTTTTCTTTTTTTTAAAGAACACCTCCGTATGAGCTTCAGCTTGGACATTCCATATATAAAGAGAAACCAGGCTGCCTTTAAAAGTAAGCGGTTTTCTTAAACGTGTTTTTATTAACACGATTCCAACTTCGCAGTGTACGAGTTTGAATTGTAGTTGGTTGTTCAACCAAGAAAGAAGCAACGAAAGCAGAAAAAAGAAAGAATGTGCTCATAGGCAGGCTAGGCACTAGTCGGAACCTTTTTACATAGCCCAGTGTTCGCTTAGTTCGCTTAGTTCTGTATGTTGATGTCCTACAAGTATACTGAGTTTTGGAAAAAACTATACTGTATTCACTTCGAACTATGGCATTGTTTACAATACAAGCTTTCTTGTTTTCATTCTTTCTGTTGATAAACTTAAACATTTGAGTGCCAATAGTGGCCCATATTTCACGGCTTCAATGTTATAATGCAGAAAGCTTACTACAAAGTGCATGAAAACATGCTAATAAGTGATAACGAGGCAAGCCTTGAAGTGTTCAGACGCAGTGTACTCGTGTCAATTTGAAAATTGCACGGAATATGCATGTGTGTGAAACAAAAAGATCTGAAAGAGATGACGTCACTCCTTACGTGTAAAAAAAAGAAACATGAGGAAAATGTAGTTCCAATTTGAGGGCTACAACAACAAAAAACTGTCAAACTGAAGCAGTTCTCGAAAATTGCATGTTGGGGAAACTCAATTTCGAAACGTAATATCGAAAGTTCTTTTACACGGCAAATATGTGCTTTATGATTACTTCTTACTCCAGGAGCCTGCAAATCATCGTCATCTTGAATTCACTGGTTTATTCATTACCATTGATGAACTCCTCATACGAACTGCAAATTCTCAAACATCAGCTGCAAATCCTAATATACATGTTTCCAGCGTTTTGCAACGAAGCATCGCGATGGTTCTGGGCGCTATGTTGCAGAAGTTTTCGATCGTATTTGATTTGTTATCGTGGCCCACATGTATTAGGCTTCATTATTTCATTTCTGTTGAAATCATCAGTTGACGTACAAAGAGTCACGTTAACTTACATCAGCGAAATACATGCGCGGCGTGCACTCTATTCGCCCTGCTTCCCGTACTCCTTCGTCAAGGCCTGGCTTATTGGTTAGTTCGACTGTTGTAGCCCGCGGCACTCACACGTCGTGGTAGGCGTTTCCGTTGATCTCCCTGATCGGCGGCTTGTCGTAGGTGGCATGCGTGGCGGTCGGCGCCGGCTCCGAGATCACCGGCTCCGGCAGTGGCCTGAGCAGGGCGCCGAACACGCAGCAGTTGAGCACCATGCCGGCGGTGCACAGCAGCGCCCCTTGCCAGCCGTACACGTGCACCAGCCACTCGATGAAGGGCGCCAGCGCGAAGGTGCCGAAGCCCGAGCCGCACACCGCGATGCCCGTGGCGAAGGCGCGGCGCTTCTCGAAGTACGTGGTCACCGACACGATCGCCGGCAAGTACATGAGCCCGAAGCCTGCGCCTGCGCAGGGGAGAATAGGACCGATCAGAAACCGGTACAAGATTCGCAAAACTCTACTAAAGAGAATGATTGAGTAAAAAGGGCATCATTTCAACCCACAATAATGATCGTCATCTATTTTGCGTTCCTTTCCTTGTACTATCGCCGCGCGCCCGGCCCTTTCAGGTCACGAACGACGACATGTTACAGCATGGCATATATCTTTCTTGATAGGAAAGTGGCTAGTGCCGAGTTTTCAAGAAAGTAAGCGCAAGCAAGCCGGATAGTGATTATCAATGTGGGACAAAAATACACCCTTTTTATTCGATATTTTGTCAGAGTGCAGTTCGCAAGCTTTTTGTCATAATACACACTTTTTCTTAATGAAATTCAAACATCACAACTGGCTAAAACTGTTGCCTATATGGGAATTCCATAGCCTAAGATGTTTTTCTACATACGTGGGTTCTGTTGACAATTCGATATCGTGAGAATTCAACATAGAGAGGGGGCCCTCTTTAAACAAGCGCTCTTTGCTATGAGTAACAGATAACAATAATAAAACTCCTAGGCTTGCTCATGCAGTCACCGAAGCCGTCGTCTCAGTCTTCTTCCAGTCTTGATACTCACACTGCCCGGCCGCCCTTCGAAAGCAATCGGAACCTAACATGTGTTTGCATTTCCTCCACGATATAGGACCACCTCAGACCAAAATACGGTGCCTGTGATGACGTGATCTTGCAACTTTGAGTCACAGTGACGTCATGATGACGCCGTACTGATGCTACAAATTCTAGTGATCTATGGTATCATCATCACATGACATAGGGACGTCATCACGTGATGATCTTTTTTTCTATCGCTCATCCCCGATGCCGATGGTCAAGTCTCGCGTTTGATGAGAAATCTGAGGTTTTCGCCTCAATCTGAATGTGCAATCGTGTACTGTTTCCTACTTTATGCTTGCAATGGAGAAACTAGGACCCCGATATGAATGAGGAATGTTGGGGTATTTGTGGATGTTGTTTTATTGATGTGCGAGGCATCTCATCTAACCATATAATGTCCTCTATTTGTAATGACATTGAGACGCGTAGGGCTATGACGGGCGTCATTTTAGCTTTGTCGAATTCAAACTTCTTCGCATTCACAGACTACTGATATTTTCCACGTTTATGTAGCCTAACTGTATTCAAGCCGTTATAGCCAACAACCCTAGCAATTTTTTTCTCTACATAACCGAGCACGCCCTACAAGCAACGAGGCAGGTCTTCGAATCGAACATGCTCGGGTAATTACGATCATACCTGCACCAGGCTTCGTCCATAACTTCGCGAGCAGCTGTTCTGGTCTGTGTGATTAAACTTTTGTTATTTTTTATTACCACGCTTTCCGAACAGGAAAAATAGATATAGATTGAAAACCGTTGTCATATGCAGTGTAATATCTCTACCGCGTTTTTCAAAGTCTTTGCTCACGCGCATCCATTTCTCCTCGCCGCGATCAGCCGTTTAGTGCTAAGCGCTGTGCAAGCCACTCCCGTCGGTTCGCAAATTCCTTCATTCCACGTGGAATGACTGGCCATTGTACTTAGACACCGAAACTAACATAAACTAGAGTCAAGAGATGTTACGCACTGGCAGACGTTCACATACGGCGTTTTCTATACTGTTTTTATGATTTCTTTTGGGTGATTTTTCGACTCACTCATAATTGCTCGTTTTCCCCTCTGAATTTGCTTCCTTTCTTTCTTTGTTTTAGCGGACGACGTTGTGTAATCAGTAACAACTACTTCATGGTCAGTTCTTCTTGACGTGCGTGTATTTTAACACATTTTTATTTTTGTATATTTTATTGGTCTTCTGTAACTCTTGTCATTTTAAATTATTTTCATTGGTTTGCTGTTCGAGCTATCGCTGATAACTTAGCCGTACTACAAGTTATTGTTTTCCAGTTGTTTCCAGTTTATTGTACATGATGTTTGTATTGACCTCTTCGTCCCATAATACTCCCCTAAAGGGTATTTATGGGTACTCATGAAGTCATTCGCATGATGCATATACTTCAGCGCTGCTCACTGTGTCGAAGGGAAGCTACTCACCTGTGCAGAGGCCGATGGTGAAGAACAGGTACGTGACGTTCGGAGCCACTACGCTGACGACGAGCCCAAGGGTGGCGAGAAGCGAGCCCGCGATGGTCACCGCCCGGCAGCCGTACTTGGTCGTCAGGCCGCTCGCCACGGGACCTGCGATGTGGCGCATTCGCTGAATATAGGCCCCCACTCCGGACAAACGAAACAAACAAAAATAAGAGGGATGGGGAGTCAAAGGTGCGGTAACTGAGCTTTTAATTGGGAAATGAGGTTGGTCACGTTCATCTGACTTATTTGTGAGAGTTCGTAGTGTTGCTTCTCTCCCTGTCACCGAGCGCCGAAAAGAGTGTGAAGTCAGTAACTTGTCACGTCCGGCTATCGCAGATTGCCTAAAACTTTTTAAATTTTCCCACCAAGCATTTTGGGGGGGGGGGGGGCGGAAAACTTCATTCCAAAGCAAAAGACATCGCATAGTTCTAAGATGATGCATCGATTCGTGCACCTTAACAAAACTAAATTAACATGATGCGGGAAATTCGCACGACTTACGTAATACCTTCCACACAATCTTTACTCTATATACATATCGTTTTGAAACTATTCCTTACACAGTTTCCTTTTGCTGTGAATCCATCTTCATCGAAGATTGGTCACGGACTCGTGGGGCGCACGTTGTCTAAAGTATAAGTATTAATGACACAACATCGCTGCTTTTCAGGAGCTATGACTATAGGTTTTTTCGTCTTAGCCAAGCTAACAAAACTTTACCTTTACAAGTATTCTTGACCATTCGGTGCTCGGCTTCTCCAAGAATATTCACAGCATCGATATCTTATATAAGCATGATTAACGCAAGGCGTATTTCGGAATATGGGTCCTGAGTTCATAAACATAATATTCTTGCGACAGTATGCCGTTCGTAAAAACAAACATCGTATGCAATAGCCACGGTCAACACACTTAGGGAAGGCCGTCCTAAGACAATATTGTGGGCTTGTAAAGCACGCTTCTTCATCACCTGTACAAAACCATCATCACCTAGTGTTCTTCAACTTCATCGTTAGTGGATATGGCTCTTGAGTCGGTTCTGTGCCTTGCAGGTGACTGTTTTTTGGCCACATCTTCCAGGCCTAATAAATGCTTGTAAAGGACTTTGTCGCGAGTGGTGGAGGTGCTGGGACCCAAGTACCGTTGCTGACATTGAAGCTATGTGCCAGCGCCTGGACGAGCTCGAATCCGCATGGCTGCAGCTGGACAACTCTCCTGCAGCCATCCCCGACAACCCTACTGCCGACCCCTTGTTACGAGCCATGATCCGCACCACAATACGAGAGGAACTGCAGTCACTTGGTTTTCGAGCGCGTCAGTTTCCTTCTGAAACCTTCAGTACAAATTTACGGGACGTCGTCAAGGAGAAATTGGCGGCTATGACTGGTAATGCGTACTCAGACTCTCACGTCTCTAAAGCCCCACTGACTTCCGCGCAAGTCATCACAGTTACTCCAACCTTCGTTCCACCGATACCGCCGACGACGACCCCAGCCCATCTGGTGTCTCTGGCGCCCAGCACGAAAAACCAGCCTTACTGTGCACGACCGGCGCCAGCACACCTGGATTCCATAGTCCCCCGCCCAAACAACCAACCCTACTATCAATCATGGCGCCCGACGAGACCTACATTCTACTTTGCGGATATCGTGGACACGTCACACGTGTCGTCGCAAGCGTCAGCGATACGAGCGTCGTGGGTTTGACACTTACAAACGAATGACTATGCCACAGCAACCAGTTTTCAGCAGCGTCCTTGCGCTACGTTTCACGGTCGCTCTTCTTCGCCATCAGAAGCTCCTGAAATGGCTCTTCGCTACCGGGGTTCCAGGCATCGCTCGTCGTCCCTTCTCCGTCACTCAATGTCACCACTTCGGCCAGCCCCTCATTTCGCTGACCGTCGCCCGGAAAACTAAATTACGCAACTTCCGGGTAAGGGGGGGGGGGGAGCTGCATTTAGCGAAGTAGAAAAGGTTCCTCCAGAACATCCTCGTAATATGATATCTGTTTCGGTGAAAGGCATAGAAGTGGAAGCATTAAAAGACACTAGTGCTAGTTTTCAGTCATTCAAAGAAATTTGTGTGCCCTTCTCCGCAAAGGTACTACGCCCTACGATGGACCTACGTTGCTCGCTGCTCAAGGGGACGCCATCCGACCTCCCACCTTGTGCACTGTTCGTGTCTACATTGATGGAATTCTCAATTATGTGCGATTTTCAGTGCATAGTTTGTGTACTAGACAGCTAATATTAGGATGGGACTTTCCTTCAACGGTGCCCACGTCCATCTGCTGCCGGCAATGCGTCCTACACATGAACGATACCGCCTATTCGCTTCACGCAGATGACGCACCACTTCGTTTTTATGCTGCAGAAGACACATAGCTACCTCTGCACACTCAGCGAATTGTTACACTTCTGTCTGATATCATTGACTGCGGTGATGTGCTCGTACAACCCTCCATACGCTGTGTCACCAAAGAAAGAGCCTTCGCATCAGGTCTAATATGTTTCGACGATGGCTTCGCATTGCTTTGCGCAACAAACCAGACGCCCGAAAAAATGCTGGTTCCGAAGGGCTTAACGTTGGCTTGCGTCACTACACCGGAGCCTTTCTCTGTAGTAACTTTTCAAGACGCTTCCCGTGAAGATCCCCCTGTAGAAAGTTTCCCATCCACCTCCACCCTCAAAACTACCATCAGCTCTGACCTGACTCCTTCGCAGACCCAACAACTGTTTGCCTTGCTTACTAAGCACGAAGTTTTGTTTGACGTCCGTTGACCCGTATTGGGACAGACGTGCGTCACCCCTCATCGCATCGAGAGTGAGGGTACGTCAGTCGTTCGTCGTCGGCCATATCGCGTATCAGTAGCTGAGCCGAAGGTTATTGAACAAAACGTTGACGACATGTTGAGACGGAACATAATACGCCCCTCTGCTAGCTGTTGATATTAATCTGTCCTCTTAGTTCGAAAAAAAGACGGTTCTGTGCCCTTCTGCATTTTTACCGGGCGCTAAGCATGATCACGCGCAAGGATGTATACCCTATGCCACGTATAGATGACGCCTTGGATTCACTACAGGGAGCTCAATACTTCTCGAGCCTCGATCTACGTTCGGAATAGTGGCAGATACCGACGCATGAGGGCGATAAAGAAAAGACGGCATTTTCGACACCAGACGGACTTTACGAGTTAGAAACGGCGAAGCACTGGTTCAGATGTGAGGGCGTTTTTCATATGGCTAAACGCTGATTCGCAGGCAGGAATCCACTCAAAGCAAACACCTGAACCAAGTAATTTGTGCCAAGGTGCGGCTACCAAGGCAAAGTCTCGTATGAATCGGCGCAAGTATGAAGCCAGGCTAAGAAAACTGCGTAAGTCCTTGGTCCTTTCAGGGCGATGAAAATGAAGAACGGCCGATATTTTATCGGGATCAGGACTAATGCCATCATTACTCACAATGTGGACTAAGACCTTAATTTTCTTGCTGGCAAAACGACACTTTTTTTAGTTCAGCTGAAGGTCAGCCGTACCCAGGCACATGAGGACTTCATCTAAACGGTGTAAGTGTTGAGAGAAGGTTGACGAGAAAACAATGATGCCTTCCAAATAGCACAGGCAAGTTTTCCACTTCAGGCCACGTAATATTTCTAAGGATTGAAAGGTTTTGCGAAGTCAGGCCCTGTTTTTCAGCCATGCCGAATCTAAAAGAAAATAACTCACGTGCTCGAACTTCGTAATAATATAAACAACGAAAGATCAACATGACCCGTTTATTTTGAGGGGGTGGAATAAACTCGCCGTCATGGTCTGCTCCCAAAAACATCAACACAACTTGGATCATGCTTTTCGCAAGTTTTAGAGAGTTGGAACTGTTGGCTTCACTCTTTACAGGAAACGGACTCGTCAGAACAGGCAATAAACGTTTTTTTTTCGAAAAGGAGTCCACGAAAATCAGCCACATAAACTGATTTATTCACTAAGCATTAAAGCGGATCGTCTACATCAATATATTATTTATGCTTACCATTAGAGCGTGCAATTATTCTGTTCGTATCATGTCATTACATTTCACGTTGATTGCTCAAACATAAAATTTCGCTGCAAAAATCTTCACAAAATAAAAAAAAACAAAAAACAAAGCCATGAATATGCAATAGCTGCCTGTTTTCAGGTAAAACAAACGCTGTTTGCGCTTCAGTGATTATTTTTTAATTTTGAGCAAGACAGAATGTCTTGACTTGCCTTTGGTTATGTGACGTAATAAACCACAGCTATATTACGTGCACTTTACCGTGCATATCTTCCTAGAGTGCACCTGATTGTGGATGAGTTTCCTGATAAATATTACGTCCTCATGAATGGTGAGCTGTTTTCGTGCTTTCGTGTATGACACTGTTTCATAACAGAATCTATGTGCTGCGTCTAACTGCACTCGTTAACTCCTCTCAAGATTGCTTTCATTACGTGCCGCCGAGCCTTGCATTACTCGAAAGCCTGAACGACCTCAATGTATCCCTTACGTCCAGCGCGCTTCACTTATATGAATCAAATGTGGTTCATTTATAAGCACCAGGCTCATGATTAAAAAGGTCAATAATAATCTTAGGGAAACCGTTTGGGGGGAAAAAAGTCGTCGAGCTCCGGCAGACGAAAAGGAGCAGGAGTAGTCCACTTTCCCTGTAAGTGCAACGTGCCCTAGGTTCGATGCGAGGCCATGGCTACAAAGCACACTTTACAGAGATGAAAAAATAGAAAAGATAAAAGAAACCCGCATACTCGACAGGACCGGCCCGACACCTTTTGCACTATACCGGCAAGTGTGTTAAGAAGAGGCGACAAGGCAGGGTGGCCCTCACAACCTTTCCCATATACAAGGCAATACCAGTTCATTAGTGCTTTTGTTTCAGTGCTGTACTACATATACAACAAATTCAGCGTATAAAAGAAACTGACGATATGTGACGCTGCCCTAAGTAGCGGCAAAAATCCCTTGATCCACCTGCCAAGACGTTATTAAATGGATCGAGTGAGTCCTTCTCTTCAAAGATATCCATATACAACTTACTGTAAAGAACTCCAATAGGTTACAAATTTTTGTGTCTTACGTGCACATGATTTTTGGTATGTGCGTACTTTGCGGTGAATCTCCCAGATACCAGCGCGATAAGTCTGTTTTCGCGGAGTGTCTTGGGCAATTCATCAGCCGACTTCCTTTGTTGCAAAGTTTCTTCTCCCATCAGTCTAGGAGAAGATATCCTTACGCCTGTTCAACACGCTCTCTATTTGATGCCTCTTTATCTCATTCCTGTTTTCTGACTAGCGGAAAAACGGGAAGGATGGTTCAGATTTCTGGAGCGCTCATGTAAACGCCGACTCGTGTCGTTGCGCTGCTCGTGTCAGTGAGCTTGGCTGTTTATCAGCAGGGCCCAGTAAGAAGAAGACCGATGACCACGGCAGTGCGTGCTTACAAGCAACGTCTTGTGACTGGGAAAGAAAAGCAATGACTGGGAAACTTGTTTCGTGCCTTATGAACGGCGCGTAACGCTGGAGTGTTTCTCAAGAGACACGCAAAACAACACGCGATGTGTACTTAGAGGAACCGTGCGAGGGCTTCGACTCCACGCCGCCAAGGTCTGCGCCGTCACTTGGGCTCGATGCCAGAGGGCAAAAAATTGCGCGCGGCCGCTGCTTTGTACTCGCTCGTAACGATATCTAGAAAAGTATACATGAATCGGAACGTTTCGAAAAATCGCGGAAGGTCGAGCAGATATTGCAGCTTGTGTTTCTTTTTAGACCACGCCGGGCGATGGTGATATTCTCTCTGCGTGCATCTAAACCGACACATGCCAGCGAAAACAATCTCATTCGGTCTGTGCAGCTATTCCAACCATTCGCTGCCCGTCAACGCGACTTGAGCATTACTCAGCCATTTCCCATACCATGACCCCTTCCCAATGCCCCCACAAACAGCTGACCATGGCTACGATACATTGATTACGAAACATTGATTGAATACAGCTTGCATTCTTAAAAATTATCTCTGATGCCTCTTTCTTTTCGCTTATACAGGCGTAAGCTATAAAGTTTCATATCGGCCGAGCAGTATAATATATACTTAACAGTTACGCGGTTGCCTCGTCTACTCGTGCTGCGTAAGAATAGATGGTATTCATCAAAGATGACACCGCAGCTTGTCAAAGGGTCGAGTTTTCCACATTTAACGATTCTTGGCTTCAAACACGAATTAGGCGGGCTCGATCCTGGTTCAAGTTAAAAAGGCCTGGCTGTTCGAAATCCCGGAGCCGTTCATTCTGACGTGCCTCATAATGATGTCGTGGTTTTGGTGCGCCTAACGCCAGATAATAATAATAATAATAATAATAATAATAATAATATAATAATAATAATAATAATAATAATATATATATTATTATTATTATTATTATTATTATTATTATTATTATTATTATTATTATTATTATTATTATTATTATTATTATTATTATTATTATTATTATTATTATTAATCATGATAATATTACTAATAAACATTTAACACTTGGAAAGTCAGCCCCTACTCACAGGCAATAAAATATGTTTTAACGCGGTAACTGCACGTTATAGCATGCTTACATCAATAGAAATGTTGGACATTTGTGAGTGCGACTATAACGTCAATGTCATCCACATTTCCGAGATCGACGTGAAAATTCCTGAATGCGCCGTAAACCTGCTTAAACTCGTAAATATCCCTTAGATTCATTTAAGGGTGAAATCAGTTCATTGTTTACCAAGCGACAAGTTGGACCTGACCGATCTTACTTGAAGAAAGAAAGGAAAGAGCGGGTGGGCATTTAGAAAACGCGATGCATTTTTGTAGTCAGCGAATCACCTACGAAATTCACCAAACACTAGAGAATAGTGATCATATCCGGAAACATTATTTTTACATGTAACGCTAATACCACTGCGTCAAAAAAACTGTAATTTGAGCTGTAAAAGTGCTCTTTTGGTGGCATAGAGACACTGCAATAGCACAATTTTACACTTGTTACAAGCACTACTACAGTAGTGATTCACTACCGTCTACATTGACGGTACCTTTTTATTCGCGGACTGACATGCAATAATTGTCGGAGTTTAACATCCGAAAACCACGATATCGTGAGAGACGCCGTAGTGAATGCCTCCGGGAATTTCGGCCACCTGAAATTCTTCAACGTGCACGTAAATCTACTACACGGGCTTCGACAACTCCCGGCTTCATCGACCATGCGGCCGCCTTCGCCGGGATTCCATCCCGCGACCTCCGGGTCCGCACTCGAACATTAGAACTATACTGCGGCGGGTTCGCGTGCTGACAGAGTTGTTGGGGCGTTTAAAACAGACTAAAGCAAAAAAAAAATTTGTCCTGTTACAATATCACCACGGTTACCACAAGACGAATACAATAATATTATGAGTTAAACGTCCAAATACCACGATATGATCATGAGACCATAGTGGAGGGCTCCAAAAATTTCGAGCGTCTGGTAGTCTGTAAGGTGCACTGACGTAGCACAACACGTGGACCTCTACCATTCTGCCTCCCCCCAAATGCGACTGCCGGCCCAGGGATTGCAGCCGAGCCATGAGAAGATTGGTAAGTGAGAAAGCGCGCAAAAAGAGAATACGGGTGTTGGCACCACCTAGAATTTTTCGCACTGGTTATCATGACGTAATAAATCTTCACGCCGCATGTTAGCACCTACGTTGGTCTTAATGGGTCATAATTAACTATATCGTTTTCTGAGAAAACCATAAACTTTAAAAAACTGACTTTCAGCGATTTTCGTTGGGCTAATGGCTTCAGAGTCCGAAACTTTTACTTAGAAATCTCTGGCATCACGCACGAATATTTCGGCGCGACATGTAAAATTAGAGCTTCAATCTCAATTTTATCTTTTATTAAGATTCTTATGACAATAAAGGCAACGACAGAGGTGCTCTCGCAGTGCATTTCAACCAACTGACCGTCTCACTTCAGTGTCCCTAAAGCGCAAATGATGTCGCCGGTACACATGAAGGAGAGATGGCGCGAACAACGTCTAATGTGAATATACTGCATATACGGCACAGATAGCCTTTTCTTTTCGATTTGAATTCTCGTTCCGAACAATAGGTCGCAGTAGGCGGGTGAGAACTCACCGATGCAGAACGTGGTGCCGACCATGATGGAGGCGATCCAGGCCGTCTTGCCCTTGGACTCTTGGAACTGTTTGAGGAACTCCAGGTAGAAGATGCCGAACGTGTACGTGACCCCGTCGGCGATCACGTGGATCATGAAGGACGAAAAGACGACCACCCAGCCCCATCCACCGTCTGGGGGCGGCGCGAGCGCGGTGGCCGACAGGTGTTGCTGGGTGCTGCCCATCCCGCTGGCCGTGGTTGTCGGTGGCGTCGAGGCCACCACTCCGTTGGCCGCCGTCCTAGACTCCGGACCCCGACCGTTGGTGCTCTTCCGCTCGCCCATGTCTCGTTGTGTTACTGAAGCCAATCTAGATGTCCCGGCCTTCTTTCCGTCACACCGTTAAGAACGCCTTCGGCAAATCGTGGGCGCTTGTTACCGCCACAATACCATCAATGTTAGCCGAGGTTCAGTCTTTATGAGCTGAGCTGCGTTTCTGCGTGTCTTTACAGTTCAAGACTGAGCTCGAGACACGCTCCTAACGCGGAAGGTTGAGCCACTTCGCTTCCCTGACAGTTCCCGCTATGTACATAAGGTATGAGTCTGCCTCCCGGAAGTCGGTCAGCGGTGTAACCCTTTTCTTGAGCACGCAGTCTAGTCTCCTCCTGTTTTCCCTAAGGCGTTTGAGCGGTCCCTTGCGCACCCACAACGTGCTACCAACGTTGCTCGCAGAGCACCTCAACAAAGAGCGGAAATCGTCGATGGAAGCTCGGCCACTGACGCATCGATGACGGGCCGTGCACAATGTTGTTTCGTTTTGCTTATTTCTTTCTTTCCGCCTCTCGCGAAGGCTCAGCGATGTTTCGCCTGCTTGTGCCCTACGCGCTCTGGTTGAGTAATATGCACGCGTCGTCGCTCTATCTTGACGGGCGTCGTAGCTTCCTTTCGCCGTTTGGCTTCTGGTAATTGCCCGGAAGTATGGCTCCACCTCGCTGTTCACTTCATCTCACGGCCTCCGTGCCTGTTTGCCTGCTGCCTGAAAAGATTGTAGATGAAAGAAGGACAACGCCAATCAAATGAAGCCTATCGCAGGCAATGAAATATGTGCGCAATATTTTGTCTAAGCTTCCGTACAAGTCATATAACCCTGAATAACATAGTAATGGGAAACATGCACATATAAAAAGTAATATTATTACACGTAGGACGACGAGTAGCAGCAGAGGCACCTATATTCATGTGTGTAATTGACTACCCGAGATGTAATAAGGGCGTACCCACAATTATTTTCAATCAGGTAAGGTAGGAAAGAAGGTGGTGTAACCATACTTATTGTGTGTTTTCATACGCACGTGTCTGTGTGAGTGCGTGTTTGAAAGCGGGCTAGCGTGTGTTTCCATATTCTGAACCCCCCCCCCCCCGCCTTGGCTGCACCAGCAAAAGCTAATGCTCGAGAAATGGTGCATTCACGCCACATCAGCACAATGGCGAGTAGAACTCGGTTAACACTCGAAATCTGAACATTTTGATCGATCAGGAGAAGAGCAAATCCTGTGCTATTAGTCTTCAGTTTTCTTTTTTTATTATTTGCGTACCTCAACAGAGACGCCCTTACTTAACACTGTTCGCAGAACGAAAAAAGTAGAATTTTAGAGCATCGTTTTTTTTCCTGCTGGACGCCACAGACAAGAACACCGAGTAAATTACAGGAGCAGTTACTTGTATGACTGAAATGGTGTGGACAACGGGTGGTGTGTTGCGAAGTTTGTACAGGCTTAGTCCCCATGGGTACGCGGGCGATCTTTTCGTCCTCTTTATTTTCTCCGCATTCACACCTGAATCACTGCAAATGAAGACGTCATCTATGACTTCCTTGGTTTTATTGTCTCTTCAATCCAAGCTTGGTCTTGGACACGATGGCGTTCGGCCTATGGTAGACAGTGCACAAAAACTTGAGTGCTCCGCTTCTTATTACTAACAGCGGTCGATTCTCCGTGGTAGAAGAGAGAATAGATGGCGAGGAATAGGTGGAATAAAAGCTCTGTAAGCGTCCCTAAGAGAACCTTTCATTTCAGCCTGCGTTAAGTGGATGAAGCGAGAGAAGCTGGCAGTTACGGCCGACCCCAGCTCGCCGGCTCTCTCGAGTTCTATACACTCAAACCTGGCCTTAATGGAAAGCCCACTTAGTTGAATCTCATGAAGTATATTCCCTATCTCCGGCCCTGCTGGCCTTTCGCCTTCATTAATTACGCTACCCAGCCAGCAGAAGAAGAAACACGCGTTAGGGAAAAATTAAAAACCGGCGTCGAAACACGCGCGAACCTGTCTTGTAAAAAACTATATGGAATTTTAAGAAACAGGACTTCGGAGTTAAACAAAAGATATTATTCTCTAAATAAATCAGGGACCGATAGTTTTTTGGAAAGCTCCATCTATCATGCCGTGCAATCTGACCGAGGGAACATCGAAACCGCAGGTGGCGGCAAATGGCCGTATTAATCGAGTTATCTAAGCAAGCTAAAGTTGAAGGGTAAGAACATCAAACCATCGACGAAGTTCAGCAAAAATCAATAGGGAGAATGAACTCTTCCAAAATTACAACGACATTGAGGATTTGCGAAAAACAGGCTTGCTTATCAATTATCACTCATTATCTGGCGTCTGCCTGCCCGTGAGTTGCCCTCTAGTGTAGGAAAAAGCAAGGCAGAGGCTTGTTCATTGCGCCTTCATTATTTCTTTTTCATTTCAGAGTCTCCTATAAGTACATGAAAATACACAACGCTGGTTATACATGCATTGCCAATTAAAAGTTTGGGGTCTAAATAAATATACATTTCAAGAAATATATTGCTTTAAAGAAGCAGATATTGTATTAGTACACTTCAATAAAGAAAAAGAGAAAGTGTGGAACAATACTTAAAAAAGAAACACATTTACCATAAAACAATTAGAGTGCCATGCAACATGATACAGCATGCAACGTATTATTTTATTTTATTTATTTATTTTCCAAATACTGTCAGCCTTTCGGCTGTTACAGGGGTGGGACATACTAAGAATGACAAACATCAATACATTCAAATCATACGGCAATTTACACAGCAACACTTGAACTTGGAAATGTAACATGACATACATTGGAAACACCGGCATTGAGGCTGAAGGAAAAACAGTGCAGTCGTAGTAAGTATACAAATAAATTGCAATAAATTAACATAGTAGACCATGCTTACAGAAAAATATCTTTGCGCCCTTCCTGAAATTTTTCCAGTGAATCACAATGAACCAGTGGTAATGGCGAAGCATTCCACTCACAAATTGTTTTTGGAAAAAATGAATTCGCATATACATTGACACGCTGTTGTGGCACTTCGTATGTGTAATCGTTTATACTTCTTAGGTTTCTTCCGCGGCGTGGCGTTAAGTATTTTGTTGTGTTTATGTTTAATTAATTTTTTGACAATAAAAACAAGAACTTCATCCTTGCCAATTGCCGTCATTCAGCTAAAGTGGGCAGCTGAAGAGAGCGTAGCATTTCAGTTACTGACTCGGTCGAGGAGTACTTTGAAAGAATAAACCTGGCAGCTCGCCTTTGTACTCTTTCTAGCATATTAATGAGGCCGATTTCGGAGGATCCCACACAATGCTGGCATATTCCAATGTTGGCCGAATGTACGTAAGATATGCTGCTAGCTTAACGGGAGTAGTAGCAAGTCTTAATTTTCTTCGCAACTACCATAGTTCTCTCTCCGCCACCGCACATATGTTTTCCAAATGGGTCCTCCAATTTAGATTACTGGATATTGTTACACCTAAATATTTTGTTTCATTGACGGTAGACAGGCGGGTAGCACATAGAGTGTAATTGAAATAGAATACACGCTTACTTTTGTTTGTGACGCTCAAAGCAACTATTTTAGTTTGATTTATTTCCATTTTAGATTCAATGCACCAATTACTGACAGCATCAAGAATATCATTAAACGTTTTTTGGCCAGCTTCACTGTGTATTTTTTTATAAATTAGGCAGTCGTCTGCAAAAAGTCACACTGTAGTACTTCTATCTATGCCGCATGAAATGTCGTTTATGTAAGTTAATAATAATATCGGTCATAAAACTGAACCTTGCGGTACCTCTGCGGTAACGCTTAATAACTCAGATTTGAAGCCGTTTATTTCTACATATTGTGTTCTGCCTGCCAGGTACGCACTTATCCACTGTATTTTGTTATAATTTATGCCTAGGTGTGCTAACTTATTAATTAACTCCCTGTGAGGAACCTTGTCAAAGGCTTTGAAGAAGTCGAGACATATTGCGTCAATCTGAACACTAGTATTTAAGGCACGCGTGAAGTCATCGACTGTTTCTATTAATTGAGTTGCAGTGGATAAATCCTGCCGAAAATCATGCTGATTAGAAAAAAATGTTTTTGTGCCCTCAAGGTACGTATACATAGCTTTGGATATAATATGCTCTAAAAGCTTGCAGCATACACAGGTGAGGGAAATTGGACGGTAATTTTCCACCTTTTGTTGGTCTCCACCCTTATGCGTTGGCACGACCTTCGCCACAAGCCAGTCGTCTGGGACACGCTTTTGCTCTATTGAGGCATTATATATTATGTATAAATAGTGCGCAACCCATTCCGCATACCTTCGCAGTAAATCATTTGGTATGCTCATCTGGTCCGATCGACTTTTTCACGTTCATGTTCAGTAATAATGATACGATGCCTTCATAAGTGATCTGAACGTCAGGTATAACTGACAACTCAGAAGGAAGTGGCGTGGACGCATCACCATTATCGGGACAAGCAGTAAACACTGACTGGAAAAATCTGTTGTGTAGGTAAGCGATGGAAGAGCAGTCTGTCACCAATTCATCATTGACAACAAGAGAATGCACGCGTCTTGAGTGGTCTTCCTTCTGAGACAAGTGACTCTTCCTTCTGACATGTGCTCTACATAGAAAAAATGGTTGAATGGTTCGATTTCGCACGGTTAAAGTTTGCAGTGTGCTATCTCAGAGGCACACCTGTGCTGCCCTTTGCGTCGCTGCCTTGTGTGTCTGAACAACGCGCTGCGATTTTCTACTTACATAGGTGCTCACGCTACATTCCCGCGGCAGGCTAACTGAAGCGCACAAAAGTTATTTTCACGAATGCAAAAGCGCTGGTCGGCGTGGGGCCGACGACAGTAGCTGTATGTGGGCACGTGTGCTCCCGCGGGACATACAGCGAGCAAAGAGGTTTCGCGGGAAGCACTGCAAGCTTTCGAAACAATGTAAGCGACGAGACGTCTATCGATCACCGCTTTTGTTATTTTCCATCCCTCCCAAGTGAGACCGCTTCTGTTCAGTTTTTTTTTTTTTTTGGAAACCGCTTGCGAGTAGGTGCCACGCTCACACAAAGATGAGTTCGTCGTAAGCGCATTAAACTGGTCAACTTAGCAGTACTTCATGACGAAACTATCGTACAAGGAGCACGAAAATGACCACACATGGCTGGACTCACACCAAAGTTTAATGAGAAATAGGAAGCATATAGATTAAAATCGTTAAAAAACGAGTGATGCACTCTGAAGCGTGCGGAGTTTGCTCATCAAGATAACCCCTCGAAACAAAATCACATGACGTTAACACCTACCATCAAGTCGGTGATAATAATCACTGCGCGTTAGCAACAGGGTGTAACACTGATTGCCGCCATGCTGTTTGTTTGCATGATGGACCCTTGACGTGCGATTCCTGCACATTTCAGCGTGCAGCACTGAATTTTTCAAGATTTTATCGTTCACTTTTTTCATAAATACTGGTCTGTTATGTATCGAAACCTCAACGTTTATCATGACACGCATCATGGCATGGTACTCCAAAATAAATCTTCGCATCCGTATACTTCCTAATCGTGTGCCTAAGGCTAAGCACACGTATAATTTTGCGTTTCGGCCTCAGTGAAGTGGGGATATTGTGTATGCAGGATTTCAACCTGCACCCTTGGAAATACAACTCCCACCACTTCGCATACCACGGTGGAT